TTTTTTTGTATTTTAGGCTAGGGTCTAGAGAGTGTTCAGGGTCTCACTAATAGATTGGACTCGTAGTTATCCGCCTGTTTACAGCCTTCCAAGAGCTGGGATTACAGACACATGCCACCACGCCCAGTTTCAGCGCTCCCCGGGGGTGGGGTTGGCATGGCAGGCCCCTAGATCGAACTCCCAGCCCCTGTGCCTGCTTGCAGGAGCTTTAATCTACTGAGCTATTTAGCTGGCCCTCTCCCCCCTTCTAATGTTCTTAACCATTTTCTAAACTCATAAACCTATGAGTAATTTAAACAACATACATACACTGTAAGGTACAGTATGCATTCATCCACTAAAGAAATACTGTAAACTGTACTTTATTTCAATTTAATATTCTTTTAATATGTTAGAATTAACATTTTAACATATTTTCATATGTTTTAAAATTGTTTTAGGCAAAAATCATTAAAACCATAAATACTACACATATAAATATGTACACAGTACTGTGCACTACCACAAAAATCTTGTGCTATAGCAAAAAAATCCATCATAAATAACTTAGATTATACTTTTTGAAAACCCGCAAAACATTGAGTCCATAAAATTTGAACCTCAAAATAGTGAGAGACTACTGAGTTTAGTCTTTTAAAGTTTGTAATATTCACTATCTATGCCATATTTACTTGTTTGTTCATTTCTTTGAGCTTTATATTTGCTAATTTATTACCCTTGTGAGAAAAATACTTATAAATATACTATATATTCATTTGTTCATTGTTTTTTTCCCTTAAGCCTTAGAGAATTCAGAGAAGGTGCCACTTTTTCTTTTCTTCTTTTTACTATGACTATGTTAGTTATTTGTAGTTTGCTAGGCTCTTTTCTAGTGTTCGGACTACATTTTGTGATTTTTCCTCATATCCTGGTTGATTTTATTTGCGTATAGTTGGGGAGGAGATATGAAACCTTGCTGTGGGGTTCCAGGCACCTGAGCTTTGCAAAAGATACACATAAAGAATATTTCTCCTTAGTTCTGTTCTACCTTTCCCTAATTCTATTTCTCGCGACTGTTTGATACCTGTCGATAATCGATTTCTTTAACATCAGGCTTTGCCCCCTGTATTTCTTTTGCAGCAGTACCTGTGTATGCTATCACATATCCTTTAAATAACGAGTCATATATTCTTTTTTTTTTTTTTTTTTTTTTTTTGGTATCAGGGACCAAACTCAGGACCTTGTGCTTGCCAGGCAGACACTTATGCCACTGAGCTATCTCCCTGGCAAGAGTCATATATTATTTGTATTTTGCTTGGTTTTTCATTAGTAGTATATCCTGAAAATATGTTTATATAAATTCATAGGTATAAATGTGTATGTAGATTTGTTAGATATTTTCAAGTTTTCATGGAGGATTCCATTAGTATCAATACCACAAACTGTGTATGAATATGTTTTTTTTTCTCACAGATTTACCAACAAAATTTGTCGTCAGATTAACATTTGTTTCTGATCCGATAGTTAAGAATTATTGGGGCCGGAGAAATGGCTCAGTAGAATAAGCACTTCCCTGGCAAGCTCAAGGGTCAGAGTTCAATCCCCGGTTCTGCCGAAACAAACAAAAAACAAAACAACAAAAAAGAATTGTTATTTCAGCGTTGGGGAGATAGCTCAGTGGCGTAAGCGCCTGCCTGGCAACCACAAGGTCCTGAATTTGATCTCTGGTACCATACGCAGTGCCAGCCCCGAAACCCTGGGCACACTGTGCTGGCCCCGAAACCGGACGTGGTGGCTCGTTGGCTGCCAATCTTAGCTAAAGAGAATGCTTCCTTTCAATACTTCAGTAAGATTCTGACCAGTATGTCTAATTAACATGACTTTGGTCATATGTCTTCCATGGAGCCAATCAGAGGGATGGAATGATCTGATTGGCTAAGTCCTGGTCACGTGTCAACCCAGACCGTGCTTAGCGCTGTGTAGGAGAATGGTCGTCGACGATGTGGTAGTGACAGGCTTGTGTGTCTGACTTTTACTCTCATGATGTCAGGTAGAACGAGAACGGGAAGAGGTGCTTTTCAAAGGGAAAAGTAAGTGGTTATTTTCAGAAAAGGGGAATGAAGAATTTTAGGATTTTTAAAGTCTGTCAGTGGTCTTTAAATTTTGCTTCCTCATCCTCTTAAATAATTTAGAAACCTGTACTTCTTTATGTATTTTTAAATTGATATTCGAAATTTTAAAACTGTGAGTAAATTATTGTAAGAAAGGTTAATGTTCTGGCCAGATAGCTCGGAGGATAAAGCGCCTGCTGAGGCAGACCAGCCACCCGGTTCCATTCTGTGTGCCACACCGGCCCCGCCCCGCCTCGCCCACCCCGCCCACGGGGGGGGGGCCGCCCCGCTCCCGGCCCCCCTCCCCTGCTCCCGCGCATGCGCGGAGATGGCGCCCGAGGCCCTGAGGCCCAGAGGCCCGGAGTGTGGCGCTAGCCTGCAGTCCCAGCGCTGCGGAGGCCGAGAACAGGAGGCTTGCTACGAGTCCGATCTGTGGTGAGACCCGTAGGCCTTGTACTAAATACATTAAAAATAATAATACCCGAAAGGGCACTGTTCGAAATTATGGGCAAATTGATATTTTAAAATACAACTGTTACTTCACCCTTCACTTGTGTATAATAGAATGCAAATGCCACAGTAATTTGATATCCTTCAGCATCCATTTTAAAAGTTTTAAGCGCTGCAGATACACCACAGAGGCTTAAGTGCCTGCCTGGCAAGCGCAAGGTCTGGTGTTTGATCTCCAGTACCAAAAAAAGAAAAGAAAAGAAAAGAAAAGAAAAGAAAAGAAAAGAAAAGAAAAGAAAAGAAAAGAAAAGAAAAAAAAAAAAGACTAGATAAGCATTTTAATAGTAAAAAAATATTCATCTGTGTATTGCTGTTTTTGTATATTTCCTGTTTACTTTTTTTCCTGGTTTTTTGAGACAGGGTCTTGCTATGTAGTTCAGGGTGGTCTCAGACTCACAACTGTCCACCTGCCTCAGCTCCTTAAGTGCTGGGATTACAGGCATGCACCACCAGGCCTGGCTGGTGTTTACCTTTTTTTTTTGGCAGAACTGGGGATTGAACTCAGGCCCTTGCGTGTGCCAGGGAAGTGGTTATTCTACTGAGCCATCTCCCCAGCCCCTGTTGTTTACTTTTTACAAAAGAATTTGTCCTAATATATTTTGTGCTTGAATACCTTATTGGTCATCTAGTGATAATTCTTTTAGAATAAAAGTACTCATTTAACTTTAAATTTAAAAACATGTCTTTGATTTTTAAGTTACCAAGGCTTAAATTTTGTTTTCTGATTGAATTATGAATTATAGTTACTCAAAACATAAATATAGTAAACATTTCTATAATTATTAAATGTAAAGCTTTAGCTGGTAATTGTGGCAGCTAAGCCATGATGTGGCTTAGTGAGACCCTGTCTCAAAAGGATTGGGGATATAGCTCAATATGAATGTTCTGGGTTCGATTCCCAATACTCCTCTCCCTATAGAAAACAGTTTTGAAGGTAGTTAGGTTTTTTTGGAGGTACTTTAGGTGGGGAATAGAATGTAGGGTTTATTATTATTATTATTATTATTATTATTTGTTTGTTTGTTTGTTTTCCTACAAGGTCTCCTTGTATAGTCCAGGCTAGCCTTGAAATCATTCTGTATCCCAGACCGGCCATGAACTTGCAGTAATCTTCCTGACTCAGCTTCCTGAATGGTGGGATTTAAGGCATGGGCCATCATGCCTGGCTTTGCAGTCCCTTCCAAAAGGTGCTTTTCAGGCATCAGTTAATTTTAATTGACCCTTAAGTTGGACAATTAAAGTCTTAGGTTGATACACTGTAGGTTAAGAGCTTTTACTTCCTTTGGAACAGTATACTGTAGTAATTGTATTAGTTTTGTATACTGTGTAACAAATTACCATAAGCATAGTGGCTTAAACCAACATCCATTTCTTTCTTTCTTTCTTTTTTTTTTGGATATCCATTTATTTCTGATCTCTAGAACTTTTTGACCTTTAGAATTTATGTAGTTAGCTCAAGACCACCTGGATAATCTCTTATCTTGAATTAATTTATTAGGAAACTTAATCACATTTATGGAGTCTCATCACAGCAGCACCTAGATTAATATTTGATTGAGTAGTGGGGAGAAAGCCTGTATATATACTATTGGTCAAGAATCTTGGGGGCTTAGAATTTTGCCTACTATAGTAAGATTCTTTATGGGTAGGAAGCATGAGTCTTTTATCTTTGGAAAGTGAAAGATAGGCAGTTGTGACTATGAGTGTGGGGGGGAGAGGGGAATGTGATAAGCAGTATGATATTTGAAATAAAGATGCTTGGCAGGCAGTGAGTTTTACTGAAGATTATGTAAGTTAGAAGCGAGGTACTGATTAAACTCTGTGTACCTGTACAAGTCTGTGCATCCCCAGGGATATATCTGTTCCATTCTGAAAATTGTTGCATCTGTGTTCATAGAGACACCTTGATGCTTGGCAAATAGATACCTCAGAGCAGCAAATGGAGTACTGGGCTTGGGAGTGGTGGAGGTAACAATGACAGCCACAATAGCAACAACAAAAACCCTGATGCAAGCAATTGCCACTTTTTTCTCCTGTCCTTAAACAGACATTTTTTACCTCCTGGAACAATATTCTGTTTCCTCTCCAGGGTATAAAGAAATCTGAAGTCACAGCTTGCTCTTATCCTTACTGCTGTAACTGTTGCCTGGTAACCAGATTTCCCCTCTCCTTGCTTGTTGCCTAGGAGAGAGGAGAAAGGTAGAGAGGAGCACACTTCTGAACCTCTTAAAAGCTATTGCCCTTCCCCCTCCACTCAGGACTCCTTGCTTTGGGGAGTTAGGTGGACTGCCTGAAGCTTGCAGTTTAGGTTCCTGAAATAGAGGGGTCCAGTCCTCATGGGAACGTGTTCTTATGGAAGGAGCCTTGATGATCCCTCTTTCTCATTTTGGACTGCCCTAGGACAAACAGAGGATGTGCAGATGCTCCTCCACTTGGGGGCAGACCCCACTCTGCTGGATCGACAGTCTAGGTCTGCTGTGGATGTCCTCAAGAGAAATAAGAACTTCAAAGCCATTGAGAAAATCAACAGTCACTTGGAAAAGCTGGCTACAAGTTCTAAGGACTTATCAGGTACCGTTCTAGTAAATTAACTTTTTAGGGGGAAGATAAATCTAGCATTGTGATGTTAGATATAAATCAGTTTGTCCCTTCTTGGTATACCTAGAAGGAAGTGAGACACTTCTCCCATAATGTTTAGAAAACTTATTTGCTCTTTTGGGAAGGGATAATGAGATAACTCTTTTTGAACAAGCATCTTTGTTGTAGGAACTTTTCCCCATTTAGATAGTATGAATATTTTACCTGCAAATGTACAACAAAAAAGAAAAAAAATCACACAAAATAAGAGATACCAAAAATCAAGCCTACTCCTCCATCACTTCAAGCAATTTAGAATGTGTTTCTTGATTTGTTAATTTGAGGCAGCTTCAGTTGACATTTGATATATAAGATGAGGCGCCTGACTATCAGTTTTACTTGTTGGATTTTGTCTGGTAATGTTATTTGTTATTATTCTGTTCTGCTTCTTAACTGTATGTCTTAAGTTTTCCATGGTTCATCTGTAGATTGATTCTAAAAATTGAAAACTAGTGGGCTATATTTACATGATAGTATGATTATATAAGTGTTACCTTTAAATTTTTAATTTTTATTAGTATACGTTTCCAGTACATAATGACTACATTCCTTGTGGGGAGATGGCACATATACATACACATCTTTATTCTTTTTCACCGTCTTCCCTCTCATCCCCTTTCTCCTCCTCCTTCTATCTCTTGGAAGATGTTACTCTTTCTTCAACTGTGAGTATAGCTGCACCCATAGAAATAAATCAGTAAATGTTATGAAAACTTTGCTTTTTATTATTTAGAGAACACTTTTATTAGTTCCTATAATCAAACCCACATAGATAAGACCTTACATATTTAATACAGTGCAAGTGGAAAAAAATTTAAGTTTTAACGTTTCTAGACCAATATGGCCGTTAATTTCTGTACAATGCCAACTCAACACGGTAAACTGGGATAACTTAAAATTTTACTTTTTAAGTGTGGCATATTCTTACACATGCTAGTTGGATGAAATATATGTATTTTTATGCTTTCTATACTTTTTGCACTTGTATATGACTCTCATGGCTCATGTTATCTACATAGATTTCTTTCTTGATCTGCTGGAGTACCAACTCAAGTAGACTTTTCATGGAGGAGGCATAGATAGACTTACATTGTTTTTGAAAATGTCTTTATTTTGTCTTCATACCAATTAATAACTTGAGTATAGGGATTGTATTTCATCAATAATAAGTTATACTTCATCTCCATATTTTATGATCTTTGTAATTGGAGTATGTTTTACAACCACTGATATGTCATAGTTTAATGGCAGAATATTTTGGTGTATTAAAACATCCACAGTATCTTTAGAGTTATGAAATACTGTACATAATCTAGTTACTTGCACCTTTGAAGAAATTGCTTTCTAGTCTCCATTGCTACTGATCAGAAGTCAGATGTCATTCTCATTTTTTACTCCTAGAATTTTTTTCTGTTTTTGAGTTCAAGCTTTCCTTGACATGCATTATGATGTGATTCTTTATTTGTTCTTGCTTGTTACATGCTGGTCCCTTCCAATCTGTCTTTTCTAGTTTAGGAAAATTATCTGTTATTTTATTCCAGATCTTTAACTTTTCTTTTTATAATTCAGTTTATCCATTGCTAAACCAGTTTTAATTTCTCAGAGTTCTTTTTCTGACTATTGTTTTCTTTATTGTAGTAGCTTATTCTTGTTTTGCATTTGCTACATCTTCTTGAGTTGCATTTTCTGATATTAATTAAATTTATATATATTTAAAAATATTCTCTTCCCTAAATTACTTACATTACTTTTTGGGTTCATTTTTTTTCTTGCTTCCCTTTTATGCTGTTGCTTTTTCCTAATCATCTTATGATAGTTGAATGTTTGTACTTGTGAATGAAGGAGTAGATTGATCAATACTTTTGAAGTAGTTAGAGAACATGTCCTCGGGCTATTTGACTTTGTTTCTCCAGAAATGCTCCCTCTGTTAGATGGATATGTGAAGGCAGCCTCTGGGAGGTGTGTTGGGGTATAGACAGTTTGTGATGGGACAACTGCAATTGACAGGGTCAGAAAAGATTTATGTGGGGATATTGAAACATTTTTAGTCAACTGGCATTTTGCACTTGTGTTTTAATTTTTATTTAAATGTCTTCCATTGTTACCACGATCAAAGATAATGAGGAAAGAAATGTATTTGCAGAGTTCTCATTTTTTCCCGTAAATATTCTTTTTTTTATTATTTTTAGGGAAGAGTCTATAGGGTGTTTAGGATCTCACTACTAGATCAGACTCCTAGTGATCCATCTGTTTACAGCCTCCCAAGAGCTGGGATAACAGGCACATGCTACCATGCCCAGTCCCAATTGTCCTCTCAGTGCACCCCGGGGGTAGGGCCAGCGTGGCAGGCCTGGGGATCAAACCCCGGGCCCTGCGCCTGCTTGCAGGCGCTTTAATCTGCTGAGCTATTTGGCCGGCCCCTCAAATGTTCTTTTTAATCTGTGGCATACTATATTTAGGGTTTTTTTTTTAATATTTAGTTTTTAAATGACTTTTTTTTTTTCTGAACTGGGGATTGAACTCAGGCCCTTGTGCTTGCCAGGTGAGTGCTTATTCTACTGAGCTAGCTCCCCAGCCCCTAAATGACTTTATGTTTTAAGAAATTGTAATTTCTTCTATGAGTCAGTGTAACTGTAACAAACCATTGTAAAGAACTTCCTGAGAATTTGTTTATAATCTTAGTTTTAAGATGGTTTCCATAATTTGATAACTTTAAAGCAAACTGAATAGGTTCCTTTGTCATTGAATATCTAGGTTTTAAAATAATAGTGCATGCTTATAATCCCAACACTTGGGAGGCTGAGGCAGGAGGATCACCACAAGTTTGAGGTCAGCCTGAGCTACATGATGAATTCAAGACCAGCCTGAGCTACATAGCAAGACCTTGGCACAAAAACCAAAGCCAAAGACCACTACCAAAAAGGAAATGGCTGATTTGTTGGCAAAATTATGTCTTATTAATGCTGACTTTAATTTTCAGAATATTATGATATTTAATATTGGAGCCTCAAGTATACCATTCACTTGTTTAGCTTTTAGTTTTTATTATTGTAGTTTCCTTGTATAATCTTTGAATATCTGCTAATTATAAAAAAATTGCATCTTTTGAGACAAGGTTTGGAACCCAGAGAAAAGAATTAAAAAAAAAAAAAAAAGAATTAACAATTTGAGCTTATCTTCTTTTTACCTGTTAGAATTCATCTGTACTTGTTTGACAGAAAAGTATGAGAGGAATGTGCACTTATTTCAGGCTTGTCATTTGTTTTACCAGGTAGTCCGTGATAGCAGTGGATATAGTCAAGCCTATAGCTCCCAGTGCTTATTAGCATATTGTTGGATATTTGCTTATTTTAAAGCTTTCCAAAGCATTGACAATGAGGATTTTCTTGCATCAGAAAGACATAATGGGGCTGGGGAGATGGCTCAGTAAAATAAGCGCTTGCCTGGCAAGCACAAGGTCCTGAGTTCAATCTCTGGTACTGCCAAAAAAAAAAAAAGAAAGAAAGAAAGAAAGAAAGAAAGAAAGAAAGAAAGAAAGATTGAAAACTATAAAAGTAAAAAAAAAACTGATACAAATCAAGAAAGAAGAGTGTGACAGTAGTTGGGGCCTATAGAAGTCAATCTCTGAATATGACATCTGAATGAGGTTATGCACCTTGTCTATATCTATATCTATATCTATATCTATATCTATATCTATATCTATATCTATATCTATGTATCTGTATCTGTATCTATATGTCCATATAGATCTATAAAGTTGTATGCATATATTTTGTTTCTAAGATTTTGCCCATTGCACAAACTTTAAAACCTAAAGTGAGGCTGGGGAATCTTTCTAGGCCAGCTGTATGCAACATACTTTTCTGAGATGATGGAAGTGGACTATATCTACTTCATTTGATATGATAGTCACTAGTCACATGTGGATATTCAGCAGTGAAAGTGTATGTAGCTCATTCATCTGAAGGATTGAGATTTTAATTTTAATTAACTTCAGTGTAAGTTAATGGTCATTGTATTGCATAGTGTAATTTTAAACTTAAGCCCTCCCAAAAGATCTTTATATACAGGGTAGTAGTTGAGAACATGGTAAGAGTGTTAAAGGAAAGGATGCCTGGCCATGGGAATGAAGATAGATCTGCTTTGTTTTTAAGAAGCTTAATCCTTTCTTACTCCATTGAAGGTACAGATGGAAACATTATCTTTGAGAAGAGCTGCTGCTAGAATGTTTTTACTCACATTCTTAACCAAAGCATCTGATCTAATGATTTTTTTTTTTTTTTTTTTTGTATTTAGGACAGGGAGTAATGGGTGTATAGGGTCTCACTGCATAGATTGGATTTGTAGTGATCCTCCTGTTTACAGCCTCCCAAGAGCGAGGATTACAGATGTGTGCTACCACACCCAGACTCAATTGCTGTCTCAGGGCGCCCCAGGGGTGGAGCTGGAAGGACAGGCCAGGGGATTGAACTCTTGGCCCCTGCATCTGCCTCAACAGGTGCTTTAACCCGCCAAGCTATTTGGCTAACCCTTTAATGATTCTTTTTTTTTTTAAGAAGAAGACATCACTGGTCCTGAGTACAGTGCCATTAGGATATAGGTTTTTACACTTGAATGAATGAATGTTCTATTGTAAAGACTAGAACAGCAACAACAAAAGACTAGAACGAAAGGTACTATCTAGAAAAGAATAGAAAAAAAGAAAGATGCTTTCTCCTTTAATTGTTTCAAGAGACCTCTGTCCCCCACTTTGCTGATAAGGTGCTTACTGGCATCTAGGTGAAAAATAAAGCTTGAGAAATAAAGGATTTTGTTGAAGCTTTCTGTTGTTCTGTAAATCAGCTTTGACAGTGTTAACATGCACACAAATCTTTTGATTCACCAGGTTTTCTCACCAGGTGAATCAATTTTAAACTTCAGCCCTCCCAAAA